AATTGAGAATATCGACAAGAAAACAGTGGAATTTCCAAAAAAAAAAAAAAAAAAAATCTTTTTGATTTTTTACACAAAACAAAAAATTTGTTGGGTTTGAACCCAACGGTCAATGGGTTCCAATCGTTGGAACCCAAATGTGCTAGGTTCAAATCCAATGACCATTGGGTTCCAATGGCTGGAACCCACACGCCCACGCGTTCGAACGTAATGGCTGTTGGGTTCGAATGCGTGGGTTCCAACCATTAGAACCTAGGCATGCTGGGTTTGAACCGAGCAATCGTTGAAACCCACGCGTTTGCGAACCTAGCACGCCTGGGTTTTAGCAGTTGAAATGCACAAGTTTGAACGCAACAGTTGGAACCTTGGGATGATGGGTTCAAACCCAGCGGTCGCTAGGTTTTAGTGGCTGGAACCCACGTGTCCACACATTCGAACGTGGCAGCCACTAGGTTTGAACGTGGCGACCGCTAGGTTCGAATGTGTGAGTTCCAACTACTACAACCTAGGCGTGTTGGGTTCGAACCAAGTGGCCACTGAAACCCACACGTTCGTGAACCCAGCACGTCTGGCTTCCAACAGTTGAAACCCATGGGTTTGAACCCAACGACTAGAACCTAGGCATGCTGGGTTCAAACCCAATGGCCATTGGGGTTCCAAGTTGCAACCCAGGCATGCTAGGTTCGAATACTGAGTTCAAAAGAGTCTAGGACCCCAAGGGGAAAAAGAAGGAAAAAAAATTTAAGAATTTTTTTTTGTCATATCAATATTTTTTTTTTACTATATCATTATTTTTGTCCATGTCAGCCATGTTGTGTTTAATACTTTGCCATCTCATCATATTAACGTTAATTAACATGACACCTCACATGATATTAACATAACACCTCACATGTTTTTTAACAAAGGATGGGTAAAATTAGTAAACAGTAAAGATCAAGTCAAGAATTTTTTTAGTTTCAGATACCAAATCTGAGTTTCGTACAATTGACGGACCCAAAAGGGATTTAACCTAACTTAATAACTCGCTCTTCTAAGAGGGCGGGATTTATTGGCGGGAAAGCATACCAGTCTCCGTCCTTTTTAGCGCGGGAAGAGCCTAGAGGCGCCATTAGCAGAATCGAGCCAAGAGATGGGTGGTCCACCGTACGATTGCCTGAGCAACCCACTAGGAGCCGTCCGATTCGCCTTCGAGAAGGCGATGGCGTCGGGCTCCCATCCCTCCGCCTTCGGCGGCAAGGACTGGGGCGCTCTCGACCTCTTCCGCCACTTTCTTTCCGAACAATCCGCCCTCTCCCAGGTTCCAATTCTTAATCCTCAGACTATCAGATTGGTTCAACCCAACACTCTTGTTCGGTATCGGGGAATGATACAGGACATGTTGGGAAATGAATTTTATGTCGGTGCTTACAAGGTATCTCTGAAATTTTCTCGGCAAAGATCTGAAATTTACGTGTACCCATTTCACCATTTCACCAGATTGATTTGGTGCTTTTTTGTTTTTTTTTTTGTTTTGTCTTTTTTTTTTTTTCATTTTTTGCTTTTTTAAGGATGGGTCGTCATGGAGGACAAACAAATTTGCGGATGTCTCTCAATTCCCCATGTGCTCTTCCCCTGATATGTGCGTTTGGGAACGCCGGCTGCTGTACTGTGTTCCGGTGAGTTTATATACTTCCATTAATTATCCTTCACTTTGAGCTTCTCTGGAAGAGGATAAGCATGTTTCCGCTTTATCTAGTTAATGATGACTTTCTGTTTAATTTTTTAATGGGATGCATTGAGAAATGAAATGAAATGAAAACCATGGCTTCCATGGTTACATGATTTTTCGTAAGCTATTATCTTAATCATTTAAAAAGGATGAAAATTTATGTCCATTTTCTTGTCTTTAGGTTCCAGGACAGAGTTCTTGGACTAAATCTTCATATCAACCACAATTAAATCAAGGCATGGAGTCGTCATCCCAAAAAAAAGAGAAGCGCAGGAGACTTGATGTTGAAGACATGGATAGGGTTGTACCATTTGTTCTTAAGATTTATATAATATTCCATTTCTTTGTTATTTCGATTCTTTTAGTATCATCGCCAATCATGTGCATTTTAAACCAAGGCTACTAACTTTAAAAATCATGCACATGGTTCTGCATTTTATACCTCATATGATATGCCTATCACTCAGTGTCACCCCATAATCTGCCATGCTTGTAAGCTCACCTTATTATTAACACTAAAACCTAACCCAAAAAAAAAAAAAAAAAAAGACAAAAGGAAGAAAGGAGAGAGTGTTCACTTTTTGTCCATGTAGCGTGTGGGAGATTGTATCACGTCAATTAAGTGATGAAGTTGATATCTGTTACTCAAACTAATTGATTGACTGATGGAAAAGTTATGAATGTCACATTGATGTGGCTTTTGAAGTTAGGAGAAAATAAGCTTTCTAGACTATGGCACTGAGGTGACAGTCTTTATTGTAGAACTGTACATTCTTTGTCATTAAAAGAGCATTGTAGATGAACGGCATAGTTCACTCAACAAAATTCTTCAGGCCATCCATTGGTTGTCTAGAATTCCTCATTGAAGATGATTTTGATATGTTACGTGCCATGATTACAGATAACTGATGATGAATTAGAAACCTCTCCATCAGCTAAAAAGATGGTAAGAAGTTATATCCTCTATTATGCTTGTGTTTTTTGTAGCCTTTTTTTCCTTCAGTTTCATATTTTTGTGTTATGATTAGATGTTTATAATAGAAATATAACATTTACTTCAAAGGTTTGCTTTGTTTGATTATTTTAATCTGTTACACGCTATTTTGGAAATAATATTATCGTAATTAAGCTTCTTTTCCTTTGTTAGAGAGAAGGAGATTGTTTCCCTTCTTCAGAGTTTAGGGCTTCAGTACCTGAGGGCAATTTTCCCCGTACATGTACTTTCCTGGATGTTGACAAAGATTCCCTTCCTTGTCTAGTAAAGGTACATATGATTAAGTAGTTCACCCATTGTAAAACTATAATTAAAAGAAACTAGTTCTTATCCAACAAAATTGATAAATGTTCTAATTTGGTTATCCAGATCTATGATTCTCCAGAGTCAGAGTTGAAGCTGAATGATATTTTTGAGTTTATTGGGGTCCTCACCTTTGATTCTGAATCTGAAGCTGCGACAAATGATTATGATGAGGTTTCAAACAGTTTTTCTGATGATGAATTGGTCCAGTTGCCTCCTAACAAGGTCAATATGCTTCTTTCAGCTGTGACTGAGAAACTGGCTCAGGCTGCTTTATGAGCATAATTTCTTCTTTTAGTTTATTTGAAAATGTCCTCACCTTGAATGATCTATAGCTATATTTACTACTTTGAAGTATTATTTCATGAGGATTCAGTAGGATGATTGAATTTTTTTATCTTTTTGTCCCTTTGTAGAATTTATCATGTGCATGAGTGCACTGTGAGTCCATGGTTTGCCGTAATTAAATTGTTAGTCGTATGAGATCTGTTTAAAAAACATAGGTATTTTTTCTTTTTCTTTTATTGTAACTATTCTTTTTCACTGCAGGTTCCACGGCTACATTGTCTTATACACAGGAAGCTTGCAGTTCACGACTTTCTGCAAAGTTCTCCAATATTGGAGGTGATTCGCATACTCAGCTTATTTTCCTTGGGGATGATTGACTGATCTTCCTTATAAAACGTTATATATTAAATAAGCTACAGTCTTCTCATATCCTTGTCTTGCCATTGGTGGTTATATTCTTTGCTTCTTTCAGGTAAACCCTCATATAGTGAAAGAGATAAGGGAAGCTTTGTTGAGGCATCTTACGGCTGTTCTGGGTGATGATGGAATAGCAGCTCATTTTGTTTTGTTGCATCTTCTATCCAGGGTAAATTGTTTTTCCATAGTCATTAATTAAGTTATACATATTATGTATGGTGACAGTAATTAATTTTCTAGTTCCAATTAATTTTCCCATATGTATCTTTCTTTAAAAGATTTGATATTTTTCTTTTGCGAATTTCCCTTTGCTAAATTTCTAGCATTTAGATGTTGAAAAACAAGGAGTTTTGGTTGAGCAGGTGCATAATAGAGTGGATGATGTTGCTGTGGGAAAACTTTCATTAAATCTCATTGGCTTAAGCAAAGAAAGTGTCTCTGTGTTCGGCACTCGTCTCAGCAACGTTGTTGAAAGTCTTCTTCCATTCACACATTGTTTACCACTTAAGCTGGAGGATCTTAATGCTGCCTCGCTTGCTCCAAAAAAGGATTATCAAATTAACAGGTCTAGAGATTCATATTCTTCTAATGAGGGAAAGTTGTTTCCTGCAACCAGTATTTATGCAATTTACAACCATCTATTTATTCCTTGTTCCATGACAACTTTGCGTCATTAAGTTTTGCAGATTGAGGCCTGGAGTTCTGCAGATTCCAGAGGGTTCACATTTAGTTATTGATGAAACCCAACTTAAAGCAGGATCACTCGATGCTGTTGGTGTTGAGAATGCAAGGTTGCTGAAAAATCTAACGGAGTTCCAAAAGGTTATTGCCACCAAATGGTGTTGGAATATATATATATCAGTAAACAAGCAAGCATTCAATTTTCTCGTTTTGTTTATATTTTTAATAGAGCCTTTCACTCCTTGAACCATTAACTCTGGATGAAGTTGACTGATAATAAGAATGGCATTTTTCAGGTTGAGTACGACTTTCAGTATTACAAGTTGGAAATGGCAGCTGACATCCAATTACTTATTTTCTCTGATGGGAAATCAAATATCCTTCCTGCTGATATAGTTATACCTTTTCAACCTTCTTCTGTGGGTTCCTATAAAGAAGTGGCCACAGAAGCGCTGGAGGCTTGGAGATGGTATTTGGCTACCGTTAGATCTTTACCACATTCAATTGAGTCAGATATGCAGAAGGTACAGATTCGATCTTCATTTAAGAGCTGCTTCCTTGTAAAATCTCTAAGCTCTATGATTCCGGAAGATTAGAGATTGTACATCCTGTAGAGAAAATCCCCTTTTATTCATCTATATCCGGTATATACATTTTCTACATCCATTGATGATGGACTTGTGCTTGTAGGTTGTAGAAGATGACATGGTTGCTGCAAGGCAAGCAGATCAAAGCTTAGGCAGCCAAGATTTTAGCCGGTTAGAAGCTAGATTTTATCATTTGACATGAGCAAAATTTTGTTTCGATATTGCAGATTTGTTTTTGAACATCCAAAATTATGTTGTTGCTTTGCAGATGGTTGACAATGGGCCGTCTAATGTCTTCGAGTTTTGGCGAAACCTCCCTGTCGATGGAACACTGGCAAATGGTGAAGGAGTTGGAGAGGCTGCGAAGAGAGAGACTCAAGTTGAAGTAACTTTTTGTAACTAAAAGTAGCTTTTCTACTTGTTAGATGGTTTTTATTGTACATGTGTCGACTTGTCCATGAAACTCTCGCAATGCAAGCAATCAAGCAGGATACAATGCCAATATTTGTCATGGAGAAAACTCAATTTCCAAAGTTTCCACATTATTCACTGTTGCAACAAATTCAACCTGATAGGCATTGAATATTGAATTGTTCTGACTTCTCACATTCTTAGTTACGCTTTTACAAGCTCTGGTAAAAAAAAAAAAAAGGATTATACATTCCCAACTGCATGCCAATAAGAAGACATTTTTTTAATAAAATAAAAAGAAAAGAATGATATTACAGATCAAAACAAGAAGCCAGAGACAGCACCTGGTGGTGATATGAATTTGTTGTAACAGACGAGAAATCAGCCACCAAGTTGGAAAATGTACAGAACTTGATCTTTTCTTCTAGGCTTTTGGCTTTCGTTCTTGACTTCTTACATGATTTACATTCCACCTGATGTCCTGTTTATCCTCTGGGCGCCCAATTTTGGAGCAGCAGGCTTAGCTCCTCTGCCCCTTCCAGACGCTAAAGGTCTCACCCTGGTAGGAGGTTCTGGAGCAGCTATGGAAGCCCAAGCTTCTTCATCATCAAGTGATCCAGATGGTTTCCCATTCAATGGTTTTGAAGAAGTTTTTGGAGGAGGAGCAGCTATAGATCCCCACAAGTCATCAACTTCATCTTTAGTCACCTTCCCTGTATTTTTTGGCCTCGAACTTGTGGCTACAAAAAAAGAGAAAAAGGGGATCACTTAGTTGAATTTCTTCTAATGGTCTCAATAGTTCATTGAAAGGCCATAAGACCAAGTATATGGGAACGGATGACCATGATAATACCACCTTGTGTCCTTGACTGTGAAACTGGTTGTGACACAGGCCGCTTCTGAGCTGCCTGAATGTTTGCAAGGACTGAAGAAGGCTTTTGTTCTTCAGGAGGTTCAAGATCATCCCATCCATCTTTATCGCTATCATGTTCTTCATGAATGCCATTTTCAATTTCTCCCCAGCCATCTGTTGAAGTGGGTGATACAGGTACAGGTTGGTCGGTCAAGTCTGTGCTGGAACTTACACGGAGAACTGCTGTACTTGAAGTATCTATTGCCAAGATCGTAGAGCACCATAAGTGATCAAATGACTCAATGACCCAAACCACAGAAATGAAGATAATTTGTTGACTGCATAGACATACCTGAGCTAGCATTGGAAGTTGCAGAAGTTACATGTGTGCCAGAACTAGCAGGAACTATTGGAGCTTGATCAGAAGGTTTACCCTTAGCAGTGAAGGAGCTGACAGCCCATCTGCATGGTGATATCCCTCACGGTAAACATAAAAAATGGCAAACCTTTGAACATAACCTAGATATTCCAGTGAATAACAATGCCTATGTTTCACTCACCTACCATTACATTTGTCATTGATTCATTCAAACTAATTAGACTAGCCATGAACATTCCAATGGAAAAAGCTTAGAAATGAAAGCTTCTTATAGTTGCTGGTCCCATATGGAACTCAGTTTGATTGGATGAGCAGTTTATAACGGCTCTTTTCAGAAAGATACTTCTGCAGCAAAGAAAATGTAAAGGAACTCACCCAAGTAAACTAGCATTTCCTGGAATTGATGAGATTCCTACACTTGAAGCTCCAGTTGCAGTGTCTCCAAGATTAGTCTTCATAGAAGCCCAGAGAAGAGAAGAATCAAAAACATAAATTTCTTGAAAATATGCTCACAAACATATGGATATTTTCAATTGCATAAAGATTTTACCAAAGATAATCATGGTATCTACACCCTCTGATTTAATTGTTCTAGTTTGACTTTTGTACGCAGTTTGACTTGATGCTTTTATATAGTAAATGAGTAACAATGAAAAATTTTCCATTCCATAATTGGTTCTTGTTGAGTAGTTTCATATGATCATTTTTTTTTTCAACTGTCATTGATTTGCCATAAAAAAACATAAACTACTGCAAAAAAATCCAGCAAAAACAAAAGAATGCGAAAGTCAAACTAAGACAGCTAAATTAGACTGAAGGGAGTATATATCTTCTATTTATTTATTATACTATTATAGACTTACACAAAAAGTCTTACCCAGTTTAGGGCCAAGGCCAATAAATGAAGGGCTCTAGCCTAGGCCTTAAAGACCAAACAATAATTCACATTAAAATTTATTATTTATTGTTAAAACATGTTACTCCTCAAACATCTAAAAGAGTTTGACTACAACAAATTGCAATAAAATATAACTAAAATCTCATTACAAAAGAAGATAGAGAAATAAGAAAGAAGAGATAAAATATAATTATCACCAACAAATAAATAATTAATTAATTAATTAATTTTTGAAGTATAAAATATATTTCACAAGGCCGCAAAAATAAAAGCTTATAGCCAAGGTCTTAAGACCAAACAATTATTCCTATCAAAATTTGGCTCAGTTTATCCCTTGAAATATGCAAAAGAGTTTAATACACCAAATTACAACTAAATAAATAATTATCTGAAAAAGGTAAATGGACCACACAGAGTGAGGCATTAACTCTAGTAATTAAAATTTCTCAACCATAGGTAAAAGGTGTAGTGGATGCAATAGTTACTTGAACCAAAACATCCCCAAAGTTTTAGCACAGTTAAAGACAACAATGCTCAATGCTTACAAACTGTTTCACCGGAAATGGCATTTATGCAGAAAATAAAAGAGCATGGTCATCAAGGAAAATGGTAAAACATGAATATGAGGTATTAATCATTCAGCCTTTGCTTGATATGCACAAAGACTTTCAATTCAAAATTGACTAAATGAAAAACATACCTTTTCATTGTACTGCTTCACTATCTGCAGAAATTGATCAACTGCTTGAAATGCCTTTGACCTTACATCACTGTTTTAAGATACAGGGAAAACAGCATTTTCACTCATGAGCATCATATGAAAACTATTTAGGGCAACAATAAATAAATCATGTAATAATTATTCAACCTGTCTGGATCAATAGTAAGTATGACAACATTTGGAAGAATCCGAGTTGCGACCTCTGTGATATCATAATAAGAACTGGTGGCACACAGAGCCATGATTCCTGCCATTATAGCATTTAGTAATAGTCTTAAGATACCTTAAAAGCCAATGAGTATGATTTTAAACTATCCAAAAACTATAGAATAAGAAACAAATGTAAAATTTGAAAATCCAAGGAAACCATGTCACAAGCAAGAACATAAGAGAGCAGCTATAAATGTATATTGGATGATCTCTTTACCTGCTCCTCGGGCAGGAGAGAAAGTATCACGCAATGCACGGACTGTAAAAGCATTAATCAAAACTCTCTTCCTAGTCTGCAATATAGAGTCCACCCAACAGATGACAATCTCAAATAGGAGAAAACCAATTAAACTTTTCACAGGAAAAAATAAAAATTATCACTCAGAACAAGATCAAGCTGCCAAAACTTGAAATCTCAAACATGAATGTCAAGTAAATCAAAATGCTAAAAGAATCACAAGGATTCACTACCAGCAGATACTAACCCCTTCATTTAGGCAGCTCGCAATGTTCCCAAGTAATATGGTGGTATTTGTTCTAATTGCAGGCTCCTCATCAACCTGCAAATAGAAGCAAAGTAAACAGAATATCTTGAAAAAAAAATTTACAGATAACAAAAGGAACTGAAAATTCTCAAAAACACATCAAAATGGCTTAAACTAAAAGTAAATTAAAAGGAGACTAAAATTGTACTAGAGAAATATGAGGCTACACCTGTAACTTGGAAAGATACTTCAGCAAAGACCCAGAAATAGTGCGTTGCGATAGCTGCAAAGCCAAACAAATAAAGTAAAACTCTGAAAGGAGTCACAATTATAGTATTAGAAATGGTTTAAGTCAGGAAGGAACACAAGGTTGAATGATGCATTGAAAGGCAGAAAGATAAGATGATCAAGCAACATAAGAGGTTGGATCTTAAACAAGAAGCATCATGTTTAGTTTTGAAATCTAGAAACTCTGAGACATTTACTATAATGTTTTACACTAAGGAATTCCCATTACTGGACTATGAATGCTATCAATCTAAAGTCCTGCTTACCTTAGGAGCCAAGACAAGCATTGACTTAAGAGTCAATTCCCGGAGATTAGCATAAGTGTCTGAAAATCCATTAGCAACATGGGGATAAACCTAATCATAAGAATTTAAAGAACAATAAATTCACAATATCTCAGAACAGTAGTATTTGCCTGAATCATATGGAATATAAAAAAAATTTTATTTTAGAGTGCTTACTTGCTCATCAACAACTTGTGCTGATAGAGATTCTCCATATTGATCAATATGCTGCAGGAGACCAATTCGAATGGCTCGGTCATTAGAAGAAAAAAGTTTCACAATTGTTGGCAGTACCTGCAAGTACAAGCATTGAACTTTCAACTCAAGTAAAAAAATATATAGCAAATACCTACATGTTTAAAAAGAGAGTTCTTTTTCAGAAAAATAAAAAATAAAGGTACTGACTACAGAGGAAGTATGACCTTGACATTAAATTCTTCAGTAGAAAGCCAAGAACCCATTTTCAACAATGCAGTCAGAGCAAGAGCACCAGCCGAACCAAATTCAAGTGCAGAAGCCAATAAAGGAAGTAACTGTAGAAGCAGAGGATAAAATCTTAACTTCTTAATAACCATACACAATAAATTGATAATTAGCCATCATACCACATTAGAATTACAAAAGTTGCACCTTTTTAAGCACAATTTGGCGAGGCAACTGCTCTGTGAGATTTGGAAGCTTGCGGAAGAAGCTATCCTTCTCTGAACTGTCTTTCAAATTAAGAATTTCCATAAAATGTATTGTGTCCACCAACTTATTTTGGAAGTACTCTGAAAATAAAAGGGTTGTGAAATTTAACATCAGCACGAGAGGAAAACAAGTAGCTGAGAGGGAAGAAGCAGAGGTAATGGTAGGGGAAGGAAAATTAAAGAAAAGAAATTTGTTCCCAAAAAATGTAAACAAGAGAGACAGAATTTGAGTTCACAGGCAGAAGATAAACTAAACAAAAGCATGAAATTAAACAAGTTTAGAAACAAATTGCTAATGGAAAAGGGAACTAACAAAGAGATGGTTAGAAGGTAGCATGAGTACTTGTGTTGGTTAGTGGAAAGCTTCAAACAAATTTTAATTTCAAGAAAGCCACCCTTCTCTCTTCAGCCTTCATGATTGCAAATCTCAGATGTATCAATCTAGAGAGGTTACTAATTAGGTCATATGGTGGACTACAGATAAGATAAAAACCATGTTCATATAATATGAATTCAAATGACTATTAGATTCTTCAAAAGACACTAACTAGTGTAAAACCAGAACAAGGAGCACTAACCACTATTTTCTATGAGCTTTAGCGTATTCAACCTGCGAGAAGGCATGGAACTCAAAAGCCGCTGATAATCTGGAAGCAGAGACTGTGAGACAAAAAAGTAGGCAGATAAATATGAAATTGAATCCTCCAAGAGATCAAAATAAAAGCATTCTAAAAGCAACATAGGCACCTGGAGTTGGACATGCAAACACTAATAATTTTCATTCATTTAAAGTGTATTGTAAAAATTAAGTAGACAAATCCATTACAAGAATTGCAAACCTTTGGAATGGAAGCAGTGTTACGTAGCTCCTCAGTTTTGCCTAACTTCAAACCAGAGAAGAGTTCATAAATGAGACAACCTATCAATCAATATAGCATATACAGATTAGAGAAATCAAACAGTCACTTTTTAACACAATTAATTTATAAAATGAAAAAGAAATTATAAATACTAACCCAAACCCCAAGAATCAATGGCCCATGGTGGAGATTTTCTGATTGTAGTCCAGTCCGACTTTACTAGCTCCATAGGCTTGTATTGTGATCCAACAAGCCATTCATATTGCTGATAAATTTATAAGAAAAAAAAAATCCTTAGCAAATCCTTGGACAAAGGTCCACAAAAAAAAAATAAAAAAGAGTGTGCAAAAATGTTGGCAGAATAATAATTGAGCAGATCATTCCATCTATGAAGAAAACAAGATAGGCAACTAGAATCTTAAATTGAACAATTACAAATGCTACTGATTGCAAAATTTTATAACTTGTTTAGCAAGCAGGAAAAAGCAGACTTCATTTTTGTGATGACAAATCACTTAACTATTTGTTTTCATCTGAAACTAATTTCATAAAAGGCTGTTTTTCATTTTTAAATGAAATAATTTCCACTTGAATACTCTGCTTGAGTTAATAAGACAACAAAAATACACATCATATTGGAAGTCAAAAGTAATAACTGTAATAGATTGCTCACATCCACACAAAAGTATTACCAGCATTGATCCTGTAGCAGCTTCATTATTCCCATCAAACTCAGATAGTACATCAAAAGCATGTAGCTTCCAGTCCAAGGTTTGTGTGACAACAACACTCGCCAGGCAAACATTACCATGAACCTGTAGAACTCAAATCTAGTAAAAGTAAAGAAGTGATTTTGGGAAAGAAGAAAAGTAGGTTTGAGTATAAATCTAACATCCTCCAATCAAACAGATGCACAAATACCCTTTAAAATGCAACCCAAAAAAAAATCCAAACAAAGGGCAAGCAACATGGAGACAGGAAAGAATCTCTATTAAATTGGGGCATATATATGCATGGCAGAATCTAAAAATGCTACTTGCGTGGGTATATTACTCAATCTCTTTCTAAAATGTAATTGTCTGAATAATCACATGAGATAAATTTACGGACACAGAATTGATGTCAAATTTGAACATAATTTTACAATTCATTAGTCATAATTGAACTTGCAGCTCTGGGTGAAAATACTTACAAGCTTGCAGTCATTATTCAGAAAGCTCACAGCTTTAGCTATCTGGTGCAGTCCCCATGCATAATACTCATCCCTGCTCACAGAGAAATAGCAACAGGTTAAAAGAATTAAACTACCAAAAACGTTATGCACCATTGCGCATGACGAAAAGAAAAAGCTTATTAGATATTATCCGTTTAAAAATAGAATAAAAGCAAAGTTTACAAAAACCAAGATGAGTGCAGCAGTGAGCTAATTAATTGATTTATACCTTTGTGTGCCTTGCAAACCCAGTTCCTTGATCTTTTCGGATAGAGGCATAACAGGCTCAGTGACGATATAAATGGTAACCTTGGTAGTGGAACCATCAAGAGTTTCAACCTCAGTGCTATGAAGAAAAGATAAAATGTTTGGATGCCTGACCTGCAAAGGAAAAAATGCAGTTCTAAATAAGCAGAAATTTTAAATGGGTGTCTGTAATCCAGCAGAAGATTAAGCTTACAGTACGAAGACGCTTGACCCCATTCCGACCAGCAGCTAGATGGCCATCCTGCGGATTACTGCCGGATAGAGAAAATATGGACACCGGAGATCCATCATCCTAAACATGAAACCAAATGAATTGAGAATATCGACAAGAAAACAGTGGAATTTCCACAAAAAAAAAAAAAAAAGTCTGTGCAACAATCAGACAAAAATGAATTTGAGCATCAACTGTATATATACGATTTGGTTACCTTGGAGGTGCCATGGAAGTGAGACCAAGAGCCCCAGGCGGAGGGATAAGGATCGCCGATGTTGTAAGGTAGATCCTTGATGCCGGCGCCAGATCCACCCACCACTCCTTTCAAGAATTTGAACATCTTCCAGTATCAGTCTCTGAATCAAAGATCAAAAACAAGAAGACACAGAGAGATATAGATTGGATTAAGAGGAGAGGTCCGGGAACGAGGGACGCTCTCGATCTCGATCTCGATCTTCGATATCTTCTGCACTCTGGCGTGTGTGGGGGAGCAGGGGCAATTTTGAAAAAATGACCAAGACCTCGACTAGGCCACGAATATCTAAGCCCAGCCCGAAACCCTCTTCCAAATAGGCCCTTATTCTTCTTCACTAAAAGTCCGTTATCTTCATTTTGGGCTTTTTGTTCACCCATTTCAATTTTGAATCGTTACAGTACTTACATTATTATTATTATTATTATATTATTGATCTTAACAGTAGTTGCATTATTGATATACCCTTAATTATTAATGTTATATTTTTTATTTTAAGTACTTATTATTTTTTTTATTTGCACTTAGGTCTTCGGGTCCAGTAGCGTCAGGTCACATATAAGTGCATTCTTCCATCCAAGGCAATGGTTCGAATTTAGCCCTGGCTCCTTGCAAATTTGTTTTAAAAAAATTATTATTATTTTTTTACTTAGAGTTATCTAAATTATGCCCTAAGAGTAAAGGATAAGAAAACATTAATTGTATCTTTTTGTAATTAATTTATATAAAAAAATAAAAAGTGACTTTAAATTTATTAACTATCCAATTAAAATCATCCAAATAGTATTAATATTAAAAATAATGTCTTACTTTTACTTTTTTTATAAAAATTTATTATAAAATAATACATTTAATATACTTTAATGTGGACCTTAAAGATACAAATTAAATAAATATTTTTTAATTTATTAAAAACAAAAAATATAAATTTTAAAAATATATAATATAAAAATATAATAAATAATTATGTTAAAAAATATGACATTAATTATTTAAAATTTCACAACAACCCCACCCCCAAACTCAAAATGAATCTTCAATTCCATTCGCATTAAATTCTCCACTTGCAACAGTACATCATTGCTCACCAAAAGGGACTGTTTATTTAAGGCTTTTTTCTGAAAAAAAAAAAAATGGAAAGGCCGACAAAAAATAAATTAGGTTTGACTTAGGAGATAAAATTTTTTTATATAGAAACTGAAATTGAATATAATTAATTATAATAGAAATGTAATTGAATTCCATTTTAGGGAAAGGCCTCCACCAAATAAGCCCTTAAATATGGTGTTGTTGTCCACCTCATTTGCCATTTGGTTTGACTGAAAATGAAATCCATCGAAAGCTAAGTTCACATCCACATGAATGTTAATTACAGTAGGAGTATACATATTCTTCAAATAAATTATTTCCAAGATGAACAAGTCGTGAGTCATCCAACTTCATAAATTCATCATTAGGAAGCAGAATTTATGTCATTTGCTTGTTAAAAAGTCTTCCTTATGAAAACTACTCTTTACCTAATCTTCTCACTCTGCTTTTCAATTTTTTGTCACCACCAGCTGTAATAAAATTAACTATTATTAGTCTAAGTTTCTTATTTGATCGTAATTATTGAATGTGTGATAGTCTCAATATTAAAAAACTTATTTTTATTCAATAATTTAAACTATATAATTTAGTGCATTATAAAATACTTTGTTTCAATAGTATTTACTAGTAATTATTATGGCTATAAAAAAAATTTCGTATTACTACTTATCATTATTGATAAGAAAATAACAAAAAAAAAAAAAAAAAGTAATAACTAATAAAGCAAGTAAGATATGTAAGCTCATATTGTTACGTTTTAAAATCTCCTAATAAATCATTCATAAGATGCAAATAGGTTATGTGCATGTTTGGTGTAGTTGTAGCTTTTAATATAAGTTTTGTGAGAAAGAAACTATT